TTGTCTAAGAAAGCTCTGTGAAATTCATGGGGTCACCATATTTCAGTGGTTCTCAACCTGTGGGTCCCAAGATGTTTTGGCCTTCAACTCTCAGAAATCCTAACAGCTGGTAAACTGGCTGGGATTTCTGGGAGTTGTAGGCCAAAACACCTGGGGACCCACAGGTTGAGAACCACTGTCATAAATCAACAGTCAACTGGAAGGTACACAATCTGTGGGATGTCTTATCTATTCAAGGCCACAGCTACACTGACGGATACTCCGGGGCTGACCTAGAGTGTCCTATGCTGGATTGGCCCCAGGTATGCACTGCATAGGGAGTCCCCCAGCTGCTGCCCCCCTATACTCCCCCCTCCCCACAGTCCATGTGTGGTGATCTCCATTTGTGTCATGGGTCCTAGCTGTTGGCCATCACATGCAGTGTGATCAACTGGGGTAAATGAGGCACTGAGGGGAGGAAAGGAGGAATCTCCCCTCCTCTCCTCCACCTTTCCTATGCATGGAAAGCATGCCTGGCAGTGGGGACAGTTGAAACTGGTTTTGATCTGTATCAGAATTCATACTTCCCTTCAACTTTGGGTAATGTGAAACAAGGCTGCATTAATGTGGCCTTGTCCCACATTACCCTGAAATAGCCTTATGTTTTGGCCACCTGTATACCAACCTAAGTTGTATAGATGTGGCCCAAAAGAGAAAGGAAACTGCATTACCTTCATAACATTTGTGAATTCTTTAAGATTAGCACTATCAGGCAAAGTTTCTATACAGCACAGAACAGGCCAAAAACACAATTCAATTTGATGGGAGCAATATCAGAAATAGTTTTGTTTCCCTTGTGCCTTCCATTTATGCAATTTTGGTACCTACTATGTCAGTACAAACCTTTATATAGAAATGTACGATTAAGTTGTTTCACGTGGACTATAACTGATGAATAGTATAGTTTATTTAACTGCCACACTTGCTTTGGGCAGTGTATTATCTGCTCCCGGATACAAAGAAGCATATCTAGAGGATAGGAAAGATTGCCTAAGTAAACCATGAATGGAACAAAGATTAGTTTATGGGACTCATATTTTATTGGTTAATCATTACAAACCTTGCAAAGAAATGAAGTTTTACAGTATTTTGGCAGAGGTCCAATTGGATAACGGCGCTCCATGGTCATTTACTTTCTGGAACTGGATTGGTTTTGGTCCTCTCCTTTGCTGACGAGACCTGATAGGGTGTTAAATCAAGGGAATTAATATTTCATCACCTGTTTTCACTTGAAGGTCTGGCTGCATGACTGACCTTCCTCCTCTCTGCTGCCCCATCACAAACTCTTCCAACAGAGGTTTACATCTTGCCTAATGAGGTGCATTGTCAGGGCCAATGAACCATGATAGCCTTTTTATGAACTGTTCACTGAACAGCATCTTTCTGGCCTGCAGGCCACCTTGCAAATAGCCATATGGTCTTCACGGAAGTTGAATTTCAGTGAAGGGAAAAAGTACGAGCCAATGCTGTCATGACATTCGCCCTAAACACTACTTGAATTCCAGCTGATTTAAGAGTCTGGATAATTCAGATGGACTGTATCATCGTTGGTCATCTCAAGTCACTTACCTTTCCTTGCCCCAAGTGAATTCTACTTCTTCTGTGGAGATTATTTTTATTTTTTTTACTGCCGACAGGCTACGTTTATCATGAACAGACCATGCTCTCGTTCTTTTCCTGTTGTACGAGTGGAGAAACAAAGTTATACCACATTCTCAAAAACAGGATATTTAAGCCAAGTCCTCTGATGTTTGAAACACTAACAAACATGTATTGTGGCGTGAACTCTCTGAGGTAAACACCTGCTTTGTTGGATGCATCTGATAAGAGAGACTCTCCTGCAATAAACACAAGGCAAAACAATAGCATCTATCTGGGCTGAGGAAGCTTTGGTCTCCAGGTACCTTTGGATGTCGACTGCCAGAAATCCCAGAAAGCATGGCCAAAGATCAAGGATTATGGGAGCTGTAGTCCAAAGCCCCTGGTGGTGCAGCAGGTTAAACCACTGAGCTGCTGAACTTGCTGACCGAAAGACTGGTGGTTTGAATCCAGGGAGCAGGGTGAGCACCTGCTGTTAGCCCCAGCTTCTGCCAACCTAGCTGTTCGAAAACATGCAAATATGAGTAGATCAATAGGTACCGCGTCTGCGGGAATGTAAAGGTGCTCCATGCAGCCATGCCAGCCACAATGCTGGCTCTTTGGCTTAGAAATGGAGATGAGCACCACTCCCTAGAGTCAGACACGACTTGACTTAATGTCAAGGGCAAACCTTTACCTTCACCTTAGTCCAAAGCACCTGCAGCAGTGGTTGTCAACCTGTGGGTCCCGAGGTGTTTTGGCCTACAACTCCCAGAAATCTCAGCCAGTTTACCAGCTGTTAGGATTTCTGGGAGTTGGAGGTCAAAATATCTGGGTTGACAACCACTGACCTGGGGGATCAAAAGTGCCTTCTGGTGTAGGCATCACAACTATGCATTGCTTCTGTAATGGAGTTTATGAATGGTAACAGAGGCCTAGAACCACTGGTTCCCAAACTGTGGCTCCACAAAAAGCTTCAGGGGAAGTCCGTGAAAAATGTTTCAAATCTTAAAAAAACAAACTTTTCCAAAAGTCATGCAAGAGTATGAAGATCTTATTGAAATGCAATGTACCTCGGCTTTAAAAATGAAATGTGAATCTGTGCCACTGATTTTGGGGTTGGTTTGTGGCCACATTTAAAATGTTTCGCTTTATTTCCAAACCTACATCAGGTCTGGGCAAACTTTGACCCTCCAGGTATTTTGGACTTGAACTCCCACAATTCCTAACAGCCTCAGCCCCTCCCCCCCCCCCCCCCCCCAGCTGCTTAAGTCGGTTAGCAAGTTCAGCAGCTTAGGTGGCTGAGGGTTAAAAGGAAAGGGCCTGAAGCTGTTAGGAATTGTGAGAGTTCAAGTCCAAAATACCTGGTCAAAGTTTGCCCAGGTGTGTACTACATTATACACAATACCCAGACAATAGGAGTAGATGAAAAAAGGAAGAACTTTGTGGGTTTGCAGTGCTTAGGGATAGATAGGGTTAGGTTCTGTGGAGAGAAAAAGTCTTCTGAAGGGTTCCACAACAGAAAAGGTTTAGCAACCGCTGGCCTAGACAACTCTGCTCAAAACCTTCCCTACTAGAGAGATTTCTGGTGAATGGAACTCAAGACCTTGGGAAAGTTACTCTTCAAATGACCGTTCCTCCATGTGCCATCGACCATCCTTGTTGAGATGCTGGGACCTGTCATCTGGAAGAACTTTTCCAAGTTCTGGCATGGACTGAGAAAAAGGAGCATGAGGCACAAGAGAGTTATGGAGTCACCACTGAATAGATGCACGCCTGTCAGGTCCCAAGGCTTTTGAGCAGAAAAGACAAGTTGACAAACACTGTGTGCAAAATGTGCAAAAAGAAAGAGTGGTCAGAAGTACTTGTAAAAAAGGGAAAGGCTTCCCTTTAACATTAAGTCTAGTCATGCCCAACTCTGGAGGGTAGTAGGTAAAGGTAAAAGTTTTCCCCTTGACATTAAGTCTAGTTGTGTCTACCAGAGCCGGCACTGTCCGTAGACACCTACAAGGTCATGACTGCAATGGAGCGCTGTTACCTTCCTGCCAGAGTGGTACCTATTCACATTTGCATGTTTTTGAACTGCTAGGTTGGCAGAAGCTGGAGTTCACTCTGTTGCCCAGATTAGAACCTCCAGCCTTTCGGTCAGCAAGTTCAGCAGTTTAGCAGTTTAACCCGCTGTGCTACTGGGGGCTCCCTGGGGGATGGTGGTGATCTCCATTGCTAAGCCGAAGAGCTGGCATTGTTGTTCGTAGACGCCTCCAAGGTCATGTGGTCAGCATGAATGCATGGAGCGCCATTACCTTCCCGTTGAAGTGGTACCTATTGATCTACTCACACTTCCAAAAAAGGTAAACTTGTGGGTTTGTGGATAGATGTCAGGGGGTCCTTGAACTTGAACTGGGATTGGGGTAAAGTAAAGGTTTCCCCTTGACATTAAGTCTAGTCTTGTCCGACTTTGGGGGTTGGTGCTCATCTCCATTTCTGAGCCGAAGAGCCAGCGTTGTCGTAGACGCCTCCATGGTCTTGTGGCCAGTATTTGATTCCAAGGAAATGGGAGAATCACAGCCACAGCGGGAGCTTGCTTCTTCCTTCCACTGCCCCGGCTCAATGCTATGGAATCGTGTGAAGTTATAGTATGTTGAGGCCCCAGCACAGTCTGGCCGAGAAGGCTCAAGTCCTTGTGAAGCTACAACTCCCGGGAGTCGCATAGCACTGAGCCGCGCACGGCAGGGAAAGCGGTGCCCAAATCGCCTTGCTTTTTCAGGGGAGTCGACGGACTTCTTCTGGATTTCTTCCCCGTTCCCAAACCCGACCCCAATCCTCAAGAGCTCCTTTGTTTTGCTAGCTAGGGGGACCTAATTCGGATCAATCCTTCCCGCGCGCCGTTCCCTCTCTCCCGGGTTGGAAGCGCCCTCGTCAACAACAAGCTTTGTTTTGCTCACAAAGCCCTTCTTTCGCGGTTGTACTTTGGAGGCGGGGAGGGGCCGGGCCCGGGTTTCAGGTTGCAGGACCCGAGCCCCCGAAACACAGAACCCCTCCCCGCCCGGCGCTTAAGAAAGGGGACAAATATTTAAATGCAGGACTCATCAGGCACTTTTTTTTAATAAAAGGAGGGGGGGGAGAAGGAGGGGAGGGGCAAGGCGCAGCCCCCTCCGCTGCCGGCAAACAAAGGAGCCGAGCGGGCGACGTGGGCGCGGTGTCAGGTTACTCCCCCCCCCTCCCGCTCCCTCCCTTTAAATGCCCAAGTTCCCCTCGCTCACGCCTCCGCCCCTCGCGTGTCCCTTGACGGAAAGCAGCCCCGGCCAATGGGAAAGCGGGAGGCGCGTTTGGCGCCCTGCCACACTGGGGCCGCCTTCCAATGAGGCGCGCGCGCGAGGGCGGGACGTCGCCCCGTGTCGATCGCCGCCTCGTCCAATGGCAGCCGTGTTATTGCCGAGCCATAGTATTATGCTAATCGATGTTTTGCTCGGGCGCCACTCCGCGTAGAGCTTTAAAAAGCGCAGCAGCCCCGGAGCGAAGTCGGGAGGGCCCGAAAGAGGCAGCGGGGTGGACGATCCGTTCGGGCTCGGGAGCCAGGCCAGGCATTCGCGGCGCCTCTTCCTCCTCCTGCTTCGCCTCGTTCCCTTCGGCGGCGGCGGCGATGTCGAGCGTGGACCTGTCCGCTAGCGCCTGGGCCCTGGAGCGGCTGGCGGCGCGGCGCGCTTTCCCTTCGGAGGCGCGGACGGGCGCGTGCCGGAGCCTCTTCGGCCCCGTGGACCACGAGCAGCTCCACCGCGAGCTCCGGGACCAGCTGCGCCAGATCCGGCAGGAGAGCCAGCGCCGGTGGGAGTTCGACTTCCACACCGGAGCGCCCCTCGCGGCTGGGCAGCGGGACCAGGCGCGCTTCCAGTGGGAGGAGGTGGACGCCGCCGCCCTGCCCGCCTTCTACCGGGAGACCCTGCTGCCCGGAGCGGGCTCCCTTCGCCGCCGCCTCCGCTGCCACAAGGGCAAGGCGCCCCAGGAGGAGCAGGAGGAGCCCGAGAGCCACGGAGGCACCGAGCCGCCGCCTTGCCCGCTCGCCGCGCGGAGCCACGAAGGAGCGGACGCCGCCGCCGCCGAGAAGCAGGAGAGCGGCTGCTATTCAGGGATGCCCCTTACGCCCCTCCCGGGGGTGGCCAAGAGGACGAGGGTCGCCCACATCACCGGTACGAAAGCGCTGCGGAGAGGAGGAAGCAGGAGAGAGACGGAGAAAGGAAGGGAAAGAAGGGAGGGATTGCGAGAGAGAAAGAGAGACGGGAGAAAGGAAGGGAAGGGCGCCTGCACTTGTCCTGCGGGGGGGGGGGCACACACAAAACAATCCTCCTCCTGCTGCTGCCTTTAGGGTCTTTTTAGTGGGAAGGAAGCCGTCTCTTCCCCCTTTCCCCTTCTCTCTCCTTCTACTATGTTTTCTTTTCCTTGCTCCGTCGTCGATGGCTTGCAGGGCAAGGAAGGAACGCTTACGCAGCACTTCGCGCTCGGCCGCCCAACGCCTTTCTTTCTTTTTTTTTCTTCCCTTCCTTTTTCTTGCAGCTGCGACGTAAACAAACCCGTCCCGTTGCAGTTCCCTTTCGAACCGCCAGGGGCAGGCGAGGGCAGGCGTCGCGGGGCGGAGGCGCGGGGAGTGTTTGTCTGCCGCGGAGCTCGGGGGCGCCCGGGGCGGGTCCCTTTCGGGAGGGGGGCTGTTTTTTTCCCCCGGGGGGTGTCGGAAGAGGGAGGAGACGCCCCGCACTCATTGGTCCTTCTCTCTCTCTCTTAGATTTCTTCGCCAAGCGGAAAAGAGTGGCCGCAGACGCCAGCAGCGCGTTGGCCTTGGAGCAGACGCCCCGGAAAAGGCTCCGATGAGCGAGGTGAGGAAGGGCTTAATTTAATCCCATTGCCAGCTCAAAAGGAAGGCCCCTTTGAGTTGCTGTGAGTTTTCCGGACTGTATGGCCATGTCCCAGAGTTATACAGCCCGGAAAACTCACAGCAAGCCAGTGATTCCGGGCATGAAAGCCTTCGACAACACGAAGACCCCTTGGAGCAGGAATAAAGGCTGAGGGGAGGGTCTTCATTGTGTTTGGATGGGGAAAGACGTGTTTGTGCCTACAAGGCCATAAGAGCTTCAGAGGTGTGCGTTAATGCCAGGCAGAGAGTTTCGGGCATGTGTTTCTGCCAAATCGAAGACTTTTAGGGTCTTTGTGGCTTTCTGGAAGATTTAAAGGATGCCCGGAGAGGGTGGGGCAGGGCTGCTTGGCTACTTCTACACACTGGAGAATGAATCCACTTTAAATCCGGTTGCTGCCTCTTGCAGAATTCTGGGGTTTGTAGTTTAGGGAGGAGCCTTGAACAGCCCCGCTAAACTGCAAATCTCAGAAATCTGCGAGAGGCAGAAACTGGATTTAAAGTGGATTCATTTTCTAGTGTGATGAGGTCCTTGGAGCCTTTGCCCTTAAGGCACTGGTTAGGAGTTGCCAAACAGAAACTCACATACACTTTTTGCCCAATCTTCAACCTCCTGCCCACCTTGGACCTAAATAATAATAATAACAACAACAACAATAATAAACTTTATTTTTACTCGACCACCATCTCCCCAAAGGGGACTCGAGAACAGCTTACATGAGGACAAGGCCAGCGATACATTACAGCAGCATAAAATATATACAACAAAATAACATCACAATAAAGTAAATAAACCAACCATGGACTGGTTCTATACTGCCAAATAATCCAGTTTGAACTTCAGTATAGGGCAATGTGTATATATACAATGTAGTTTGAGGTGTATTTGGTTCTACACGTGCCATACAATGCAGTTCACACGGCATTATTTGGCAGTGTAGAACTAGCCTGAGGTCCCTGTCACGTGGATAAAAGACCCATCCTGCTCTGATGATGCCCTAGCTGCAGTTGACTTATCCATTGTGCCTTCTGCATTAATTCTACAATACAGATGCATTCTTTGACTTATCCAGGGATGCCTCAGTATTGTGGAATTAATGCCATTTGCCACCATTTAACTTGATGCTATGGAATCTTTTGAAAAGCCTTCCCTGCCAAAGAATGTTAGCACTTTACCAAATTACAACTCCCATGATTCCATATCTTTGAGTCATGACAGTTAAAGCAGGGCATGGGCAAAGTTGGCCCTCCAGGTGTTTTGGACTTCAACTCCCACAATTCCTTACAGCCTCAGGCCCCTTCCTTTTCCCCCTCAGCCACTTAAGAATGTTAGAATGTTAAGGATATCCAATCAGAAACCATATGCAAATTAGTAGGTTGAGATTGCTTATGCATAGGCAAACTTTGGCCCTGCAGGTGTTTTGGACTCCAACTCCCACCATTCCTAACAGCCTCAGGCCCTTTCCTTTTCCCCCTCAGCCACTTAAGCGGCTGAGGGGGAAAAAGGAATGGGCCTGAGGCTGTTAGGAATGGTGGGAGTTGGAGTCCAAAACACCTGCAGGGCCAAAGTTTTCCCGTGACTGGCGTAGATGCACTTTAGGAAAAGCGAGGCAGTGCCTTGTGATGCTTCTATGTAATTCTGAGCTTTCTGTTGCTTTTTCTCCACCACCTTCCTAACGCTGAGACCTTCTCTTGCAGATTTTGCACTATAGGACACCGAAGTGAGTGATTGTTTCCTTGGAAACGCCAGGGCTGGAGCCAAGGCCCCTTCCTCCTCTCCCTACACGTCAAAGGGACCCACTGGGAGGGAAGGACAGCGAAGGGAGTGGGGGCGGAGACCATCGTTCCTCTCTCCTCTTCCATTCGTCCCCCAGAAGGAACTGCTTGTACCTCCATGTAGCAAAAGTGGCTGACCTGCAAGCCACCTGACGGAGCAGTGTTAATTTACAACTGTGCAATGTATTATGTTTTATATATATATTAAAAATATGTATTATGCCTAATGTGAGTACACTGGCCAGAAGTGTAAAAGCTTTAAAGTCACTTATATAAATGTTTAATCTCTGCTGATTTCTCAGTGCAAACAAATTGTATATTTGTACAAAAAATACAAACAACTTAAGAGTTCTACTAACTTATATTTTCTATTTATGTCAAAAAGGTGGATAACTTTGGTTGAAGCCTTGTAGTCTATTCTGTGTTTTTTTTTCTTATTTGGTTAAGCCAAAGGGCACTATATATTTGCTTTTTTTGTTATTTACAAAAATGTAAATTTATTTTTATAGTGGGGTTTTTTTGCATTCACAAAATGTAGCTATGAATCAAAATTACTTTAGTTATTACTTGAAAAAAATATCTGGTAACTATGGTTCCTGAGCCAGTCTGTACCACTGCCGTTGCCAATTTATGCCACAATGTTAAAAATAAAAAAGGAATCCAATGACCCTTTGCTTTTGTGATGTCTAGCTTTTATTCCTCTTCAGTGGTTCTAATTGGGCCAGCACATTCACAGTTTCCTTGGCTTCTTAACATTCAGCATACTAATGTTATGCAACAGCCATTTGATCCGTATTTAAGAGTAAAATGGGTGGCCTTTGCAAACTTCCAAATGGGTTTGTCTGGTGACAGAAGAGCATGCAGCCAAACTTTCTCTGGAGGAATATGAGGCCTGGCGGTGGCTGGAGAAGAAAGGTTAACAGAGGACAGAAAAAGCCTATGGCACACTTGGATTTTGGATGTAAGCCTTTGGAGAGGTAATTTGACTTGATACCCTGCCATCCAGACTAAAGTAAATTAACTGCTAAATGTAGCAAGTTGAAGGTTAAAGTGCTTTCACAAGGTTGGAGGCAGAGGATACATCACTCTGAAATAATAATAATACACTTTATATTCTGCTTTATCTTCCTGGAAGGACTCAGAGCGGATTACCATACACATACGAGGCAAACATTCAATGCCTTTTCATATACAGTGAACAAAATACATCATAGACAAAGATAAAGGACTTCTTTTTCCGTCTCTGGCGTCTGGAGACAATACTCAGCTCTGGCCATGGGGAGGTGCTCTTGTTCAATTTTTCCATGCCAAGGAGCCTGTTGTCCATGGACATCTCAGATTGTGTTGCCTGCATATCTTCATGGGATAATTCATGTAGAATTAATGCAGAAGGCACAATGGATAAGTCAACTGCAGCTGTTTTACTTTCCCACCAAGGCAGTACCTATTGATTTACTTGTATTGCATGCTTTTGAACTGCTAGGTTGGCAGGAGCTAGGGCTGACAGTCGAGAGCTCACTCGGACTCGCGGCTTTGAACTGCCAACCTTCTGGTCACCAGCTTTCCTGCAGCTAGCAGTTTGAGTCACCTTAGGGCTGAGAAAGGCGGGCTAGAAATACTGTAAATAAATAAATATAACCCGCTGTGCTACCACAGTGGGTTTGGCACCACTTTAACTGCCATGGTTCAATGCTATGGTATTATGGAAGTTGTAGGTTTACAAGGCCCTTTGCCTTCTCTCACCAAACTACAGATCCAAGAATTCTACAGCATTGCGCCATGGTGGTTTAAATGGTGTCGAACTGCATTCATTCTGCAGTATAGAAACACCCAAAGTTACACAAGATCATGTCCAATAATAGCACAGACTTCCTCAAACATTTTATCTCAGAGGAACCCTGGAAATAAATTTTGGATCTGCACAAAATTATAGCTCCCTTTTCTCAATCACATTCTCACAGGGAGTCTGTAGTGACCTCTTGTGGAACCCTGATTGAGAAACTTTGATCTAGGGGCTTTGAGATTTCCATTTCTGGTCTAGATCTCAATAGAGCCAGTGTGGTACAATGGTTTGAGCAGTTGAGTACAACCAAAGGCCAGGGTTCAAATCCCCGGATGTGGCTTACTCAAATTCATGCAGTGGCTTTCCCAAGGTCAGTCATAGAGACCCCTTGGATAACTTCATGGCAAGCCACATCCTCTCGGCCTTATGGATGCAAACTCCAGTCTTGCAGAACAAAGCTTGTCATGAAAACCCCATGATATGGCCTTAAAATCCTATGAAGTTGGAAACAAAAGGCACCCAACAAAAAATCTAATCTCAGTTTATTAGATTAATTGAGATGGATCCAAAGTGCTGGACTAGAATCGGAACATGGACAATTTAGAATAGACTTATTGTAGAATAATACACAATGCAATTTCCTGTGCTGGAAGAAATATATTACAAGTTAACATGAGCCAAAAGACATTAAGTACCTTTAGTCATGTAGTCATGGATGCAGACATTCCCCTTCCCCTGGATGTGTCTCACAATATGTTTGGTATGCGTTTATTTCTGGAGCCCAATCTCCCATAGTCTGTAATTCTTAAATAATTGATACCAATGTGAAGCAAGCCATTCAAAAGCAGTAAATTAGTCTCATTCTTCCATAGAAGACAGCCTGGGTTTACTATTACTGGGATTAAAAACAACCAAAAACTATTGACAACACCCAGGATTTTTAATAGGACCTTTATAACAGTTAGTGGCTTGATTTGCAAAAATTAATACACGAATATTACCTGGCAAGGAGTCAGGTATCGTGATCTGCCGGCTAAAGTTGCTTTTAAAGGCACAGTTGTAGAAGCTGGTTTAAAAGTTGGCAACCTTGCCAACCCCTTGATCCCACACATTTGGAAGAAGGGATAATTGATTTCAGTAGCACTTGCTTCTAGCTTATTCAGTTTAAGGTGTAAAGCTTCAGGAGGTCAACTTGTGCTCAGCTGCCAAAAGAATAGGCTCACACATTTCTTGGGTGTTTCCGGAAAGAACAGTGGAAAAGAAAATATGGAACATATAAATAAGGTTTTGGAAACTGGCTGAGACTATTTTGTTCAGGATTCTTTTTATCCTTGAGAAAGTGGTGTGCAAGTGTTACTGTAACATTTCTTGATAGTACAGTCACCTTAAAGAAAGGAGAAAGTTGGCATTACCTTCTGAGAGTGGAATTAATCGTGTATTAGATGTCTATCTAACTGTGGATTAGACTCTACTGGTAGAATATCTTTTCCTTTCCCTTTTAGCCCCCTCCTTTGACATCTCACCCTGATCTGCTTTAGGAAACGGAATGAAGGGGAGTCTAGAAAAAGTATGGGGACACAAGCAGGTGTACAGAGAAGTCAAAGGGGAGATTCCATTGACGAAGTGGAGATACCCTAATTTGACTCTGGATGCAGCCATTGAAATAGCTATAAGTATCTATATGCATGTTCAGACTGAACCCAATGGTCAGTCTTCATTGGCACTTGAGAAATAACATCTACCTCCAATATCTTGTTCCTTATATCCATTTACTTGGAAATATGAATCATTCATTTCTATGGAAGTTAACTAAAGCAGTGATTCCCAACCTGTGGGCATAAATAAAATAAGGTCTGTGTCTCTAGATTATTAAATATGGTTTTTTGTGGGTGAGCAGATGGCGACTACCAGATGGCATATGTTCTATATCAGAAGCTACAACTGATGTGGTCTATCCAATGCAATTTTCTGAATCAGCATCCCAAATAACCAAACTGAATCTAAAGTTGACAAAAAACTGATTTCTAACCATTTTGGTACTAATGTTGGAGAGTGGTCCCTGGTCAAAGTGGTCCCTGGTGAAAAAAAGGTTGGGAACCACTGCAGTAATCATAAAAGGCACCAGATCTTATGATCTTGGGAGCTAATAAGAGTGCTCTGGTTGGTATTTGGATGGGAGATGGTCAATGAAGGCCAGGTGCTGTAAATTATATTTCAGATAAAGGATGTGGCAAATATTCCTTGCCTAAGAAAAGTCTAAAAATAATGCATGGGGTCACCATAAATCAATGGGCGACTTGAAGGCATAAATGCGTAACTATAGCCAGCGTGAAAGAAAATGTCCCACATGTGTTGGTGAGTCAGTGGAAACTTTTGTGCACTATGATGTTGTACTCTGCATCATGCCTGGGAGCTTTGCTTGTGTTTTTAAAATGTAACCATAACTATGTGCACAATATAATTAGAAACTGGATGCCCAAGGAACTGACTCCAGACCCCTGCTTCTTTGCTTCCAATGCTATAGCTCAAATTGTTCCAGAGATACCCCATAGTCCCCTGGATCAGATTTGCAGGAACACAGGAGAATACTGTGGGCTCAGGAACCAACAAAGATCCACTATTGAGTCAACAGACACAACTGGATCATAAGAACCCCAAGGATAGAAGGAGCCTTTCCACCAGTAGAACCTTTCTATCAATATGTTAGATCCAGCTTTAGTCAAAATTAGACCTGTTTAAAGAAGCCAACCTGGTGGTTAGACTGAAGATGAGCTCTTCAGACATTAGGTTGTTGTGAGTTTTCCAGGCTGTATGGCCATGTTCCAGAAGCATTCTCTCCTGACATTTTGCCCACATCTATGACAGGCATCCTCAGAGGTTGTGAGGTCTGTTGGAAACTAGGCAAGTGGGATTTATGTATCTGTGGAATGTCCGGGGAGGGAGAAAGAACTCTGGTCCATTTGAGACAAGTCTGAATGTTGTAGTTGGTCACCTTGATTAGCATGTCTTCAGACATAGTTGGATTGTGATTCTTTGTATTCTTTAACATTGACAGTGCTATCTAGAGTTGCTAGGTTGCAGCCCAGTAACATAATGAAAATTGCATGGTTTCCACCCCTGGTTTAGTTCTAGTACTGTATATTCATTGAAATGAATCCAAGCTGGTAGGTTAGATCCAGAGTACTAATACTTAAGAGTAGCCCAACAAAAACTCACTCCCTTGATTTAAATGGTCCAGTTCAAGGATGAATAAATTTGGATCCAACACAGTATTGTTAATGTGGCAATATAGTTAATGTAGAAACGAATCACTTTGAACTCTGTTGTCTCATTGGTGAACTATGATTGCTGCTTCTCTATTCTGCACTTACCATAACAAAGATGTATTTGTGTACTACATATTTAGACCATCACTATTGTGCAATCTAATTATGAGTTTAGGGCAGAAAAGGTAATAGAAGAAAACAACTACATTTGATCTAATGAACTCGGTAAATAGTTTGACTGTTTATTGCAGTATGAGCGACGTTTAATAAAAGAACAAACAGAGGAGTGTTCCACAGATCATTGGCACTGAATAATCATGAACAAGAACATCACTATTAATTATAGCCATGTTGGGAAAAAAAAAAGACAAAGCAGCAAATTGAGAATGATGATGGCAACAATGACATCGGCTTTCATGGATCAGAGCCCATATTAGATGAAGAGTTATGACAGGCAGCATTCAAGGAACAAAACTATACACATTCTTTGTGCCGAAAAGGGTAGGCCTGAGGACACTTCTCAAGGGCCTCCATTCCTCGTGACATGTGCCATGCTTTGGCACACCCCTCACACCCCACTGCAAAGATCTGAACTGGCCAATTGAATCTCCTAGTGACCCATT